TCAGTGACATTGCTCTTCTATATTAACGAGTGCTTTCTGTTTTCTTATAAATACACCCTGACCCCAACCTGCTACCTGACAGCTAACTCACAACATACCTAACATACAGTTTGACTGCAAATGACACAGATCTACCAAAACTGATACACTTGTTGCCTATGTCTTGGCACACCATACAGTGTAATGGAACTGGCAATCCTCCATCTTTGTCGGACCAAATCATACCACATATACCTGTTTAAAATTCTACTTTAATGTACGACGTTTTGGTCCCAACGGTGACCTTTCTCACGTACAAGTGACACTTCTGACAATATATCTTGTTTATCTGTCTTCCAGGTGTCCTTTCATTTGTTTTTTCTTCTATACATTTTAACTTGCAGAACCAGAACCAGATTGTATGTTTGTTGTAATTTCTAACTGTCTAGTGGCACCGTTCTAGAAAAAACTAACGGTCTGGCTTTATTCCTGAGATAGGTAACAGTTAGACTACGTGGAAACTGTTAACCACTGTAGTCAATTTTACGGTTTTTTACGGGTCATACTGAAACCGACATCACTTTTATACATCCAACTGCCAAGCGTTTGTTTGTGTAAGCACAGACATACGAGTACGTATGACAGCTCGCGCCACCTCAAAACTTTTCTCACCAACGTATGAGCATTCCTAATCTATGCTTATCACTGTCAGTGTGAGAAGCCACTTGACATGGATAAGAACAGCTGGCTTTAGATTGGTTTGCCCAGTGTGCATTTTCCTTTGAAGCTCCAGCTCCGCACATGGTACAGTTAGTTGATTAAGGGCTTCCCCTTCTGGCTCCTAAAACTTTTGAAATCCTTTCTCGAGGGTAGGAAATTTTGGATCAAAATTAATAACGTTCTGTCGACAACACGGCCCATCAAAGCCGGTGTCCCTCAGGGTTCGGTTCTTGGACCAGTCCTTTATTCACATTTTATTCATGACGTCCCTTGCCCCAGCCGCTGTGAAACCTATCTCTATGCTGATGACACTGCCCTGGTGGCCCAGTCGTGCTCTGGGAATCTAGTTCACGACAGGCTGCAAAGTGCAGTGGACGAAGTATTTGAATGGGCGAATCGGTGGCTGATCAAAATTATTCATTCGAAAACGCAGGCAATCTATTGTACTAAAAAACGTAGCGGCGCCCCGTCTGAGGTTTCAGTGAATGGCGCTCAGGTACCATGGGAAAGCTCTGCTAAGTATCTCGGTATCACTCTTGACAAGGGGATAACCTGGCAGAAGCACACTGAAGCGTTAAAAACTAAATTCCAAATCTCGTTTCGGCAAGTCTACCCTATGCTATGTAGAACATCAAAATTAAGTTTGATCAACAAAGTTCGACTACACAAGATGGTTATTAGACCAGCGATCACTTTCGCAAGTGCGGCTTGGTGTTTTCTCACCAAAACGCATTTGCGTAGCCTGCAGGTTTTGCAGACCAGAACCTTGCGTACAATCACTAACGCCCCATGGTATGTTTCCAACGAGACCCTTCACAGAGACCTTGACATCCCCTACCTAAGGGACTACATCAAACAACAAGCGCAGCTACGTTACAGTCAAGCAGAATCGCATAACAACCCTTTGTTGCGCGAGTCAGTAGACTACACAGTCGAGCAAGTTCGCAAGCACACAAGGCCGCGACTCGCACTGTGAACAAAATTAAATCGTGCGACTTTAGGTCCAACCAAAATTATAATTTTTCTTCAACAACCAATCCCAAAATTAATTTTAGGAGCAATTTAAAATTGCCGAATACTAACTAGCAATGCCAAGGCACCCCTCAAATTGATGCACTTCTTTTTTCTTTGCTCTCCCTCCTTCCTTCCTTCCTTTCTTCTTCCCTTCTTTCTATCTGACTTTGTTTGGTATCTGGGCAACCAGACCTGACAATTGATCAATCTCAGTAAGGACTTTGGTAGTAACGGGTGATTCATTTAGAGGTACTTTTTTGGTGTCGCTGTAATTGCTTATCGCGCGTGGGCCATGACAACAAATTTGAAATTTTCTGTTTCAGTATTGTTCGAAATTTCATCATGGAAAGACTTAGTCCAGCACAGCGTCTACAAATAATTCAGCTGTACTAAGAAAATCAACGTTATGCGAGAAGTGTGTTTCGTGCACTTAGAGCAACGTATGGTGTACATAATCGGCCCACCGAACGCACAATTCGCCATACGGTCGAAAAATTTGGAACCCAATTTTCATTATTGGATAATACCCGACCAAATAGACCATATCCAGCACGGAGTGAAGAAAATATAGCTGCGGTAGCTGATATTATACGTGAGGACCCTGAAGAATCGATTCGGCGCCGTTGTCAACAGCTTGGATTGTTGTATTCAACAACTTGGCGTGTTCTACGTAAGAATCTTAATTTGAAACCATACAAAATTCAACTCGTTCAAGAATTGAAGCCGGCCGACCTTCCAAAGCGTCATCGTTTCAGTCTTTGGGCTCTTGCACGGCTTGAGGAAGAGCCGATGTGTTCGAGCAAAATTTTGTTTAGCGATGAGGCTCATTTTTGGCTTAACGGCTACGTTAATAAACAAAACTGTCGTATTTGGGGTGAAGAACAACCCGAAGTTGTGCAAGAGCTGCCATTACATCCAGCGAAAACAACGGTTTGGTGTGGTTTATGGGTCGGTGGAATCATCGGTCCCTATTTTTTTAAAAATGTGGCCGGTCGGAACGTAACTGTGAATGGTGCTCGTTACCGTGCCATGATAACGGATTATTTGCTGCCTGAAATTGAAGCCCGTAATCTCGATGACATTTGGTTCCAACAAGACGGCGCCACTTGCCACACAGCCCGTGCAACCATGGTTTTATTGCGAGAACATTTCGATGAACACTTAATTTCACGATTTGGACCAGTGAACTGGCCACCTAGATCATTTGATATCACACCTCTAGACTTTTTCCTTTGGGGGGCTACGTTAAGTCCAAAGTCTACATTGATAAGCCCAATGCGATTGAGGAATTAGAAGCCAACATTACGCAGGTCATTCGCGGGTTCGAGTCCCATCCCAGGAGAAATTTTTCTCTTGGCTATGGATGTTGTGATTTTCCGTAGGTGGTAGATGGTCTCTGACTGTCGAACGCGGAGGTACCACCGGGCGGATCTCGTAGGCGGAGCCAGAATGTGTGCATGTTGCATGCACACGTGTTCCCTCGAAAGAGTCCGTGTGGCGTCCCCCCTTTCCCATGTATCCCCCTATAGCCCCACGGTACCCAAAGGGTGCTTAGGCCTTAGGCCTTCGTGGTAGTTGGAGTATATAAAAAAAAAATCCAGTCGAAATGCTCCAACGTGTCATCGAAAATTGGAACTTTAGAATGGACCATCTCAACAGCAGTCAGGGCCAACATTTGGAAGAAATAATATTTAAAAAATAAATGTCAAAAATAGTTCTTCTCTTTAATAAAAAAGATTTGACAAGAAAAAATAATTTTGTTATTTTATTTTGTTGCTGAAAAAAGTACCTATAAAGGAATCACCCATTAGAAGATTACAGGATTGGCGTCATAAGTCCGTTTCATGTAAATTGTAAGTTTAAAAATTATAATTTTCGTAGAAAAACTGTTTTGATTTTATTTTACGTACATTATGTACTGTTAAACATGAGATTACTTGAAATAAAACCAAAAATTGTATACGAGAGAAATAATATAACGCATTACATAGTCACTATCCAACTAACCACTGGTGTAAATGAATGTATCACCTCTAACACTTCATAATCCACGTGTGGTGTTTAATTTAGATGGCAAAACATAATAAACTGTTGGAATCAGAATAGTCGTTACCATCCACCTGCTATGAATGGTGACGCGGAATCAACCATTTTGAAATGAATAAGTCGTGACGAGTTAATAACTTTATATGACAAAAAATTGTTAGCGGTGCCAGTGTTGTGCGAGCAGGGTCAAAATCTAATCATCAAGAAGCACTTAGGCCCGTATCGTCAGTCGTCCCTACAATTGTAGGGCGCGTTTATGGCCTCCTTGATTGTCTTAGTTTTCTGCTTCTCCGTGTCAGAACTCTATTTTGAGGTTATGTCACAAACATCTATTTGCATCAAATTGTGCTTGCTTTTGAGTTGTTTTAACAGCCTGAAATTTCCTACAATTTAAAAAGAAAACATATCTTCATAATAGGAGAGCGCTGACGCTGACACGGGACACGTGTAATCTAGAAATTTTTGAAGGAGAGAAAGGAGGATGACAATCAAGGAGGCCATAAACGCGCCCTACAATTGTAGGGACGATTGAGGATACGGGCCTTAGGTAAACCATAATCACGCTACATCAGCTAATAATCAACTGGCGTTCACTCTGATTATTGTAAAGGTATTCGCTGTAAATTGTGATTAATTACTAAGCTGCCGTTAGATAGGCAGTGTTGACACATCATACATTTTATTACATTTCAGAATATATATTATTATTACATTATATGGCCGCGAGATATAATCCTTTTTATTTATATTCGGACGTAAACCTTCGCCTACATGAAAACCATGCTCTCGTTTCTGTGCAGTAATAAACTCCACAATGTGTGAGTGCAGCCTTTATGACATCTTATGTATAGTTAAGAAAAATACTCCACAACTTTGTGTCTGACAGAATAAACATCTTAAAAACGGCAAAACTATCTAGAGGCACGTACAAAGAAGTACCTAAGAAGCATAGGTTATACAAAAAAATTCAGGGTAGGTCGTTTTTCATCTAATGACCATTCCTATAGGCTACCATCGAAATAACAAACTCAGGACATGTAGTCTAAATTTTGTCGTTCATATAATCGTCTTTCACAGGCTGCTGAGCTTCTAGAAAATGTTTCCATTGTTAGAAGTATACGTTAATGTATCGTTAAACTTCTGTCAAGGTCGGTCAGTAAATTATATGGATCAGGAGCCTCTAAGAGGAGGATAAAGCTACCAATCCAAGAGGATATTTACCAATCCAAGAGGATATTTACCAATCCAAGAGGATGTTCCAATCGCGAACGCCTAAAAGACGAACTATAATAGCTAGTTCAGGTAGAGGTTTTTTAACACATTTTAACATCTCAACCAAAAATACATGTTGAAAACAGCTTATCACAATACTCTCCTCTGACACAGAAATGACACAGCCCGCTTGCTGAATCTGGTTCGTATTGTTATAGTTTAGGATTAATGTCACTATACAGTGAAGATATTTGAATTTTATCAAATCAAATTTGCTATTCTAAAATAAATAATATACTCTATACACACCTCCTTTAAAAAATCTATTATTGATGTCGCAGATATAGACCAACTAGCCAAAATCGATCCTGTTTTAGAAAAAAATTGTAATTATAATAAAGCTCCATGGTACAACAGGTCCCACATTTATGGTGTAACAAAAGAATTTTCCAAAATCTGAAAGTATCACCCACAATTTAGCGATATCAGTAATTTCAATTTGTTTACAAGAAACAGACAGCATGGTATTTGGTGTGCGGTATACAGGTTGCTCATTTGAAAAATTCCCACCACGGATTTATCGAAAATCACTGATTAAAAGAAAAAACGCCGAGACACGTCAAAAGATTTCTCAAGGGGCACAACTTTTTAACCAAAAACTACTTCAGCCCCTTTCACCCTCAGCCCCCCAGGGTCATTCCCTTATAAATTTCAAGTGACAAGGGGTAACGAGCAATAACTTGTATGAAATGTCTTTCGAAGTTCTTTATTTTGACGTTTGATTTTTTAAAATCAGTCGATTCGTTTTTTTCTCAATGGGTCCAATTTTAATCAGTTGTGTTCACTCCCTAATCTGAAAGTTTGGATGAACTCCGTCAATGCATCATCAAAAGCTGCCATGATATCTCACAACTTTTTTTAAAATGTCCGTCGGAAATTTTAACATCGCCTATATCATTGTTTGGCCAATAGCGGGCAACATTTTGAACAGTTATTGAAATAAAATGGAACATTTTCGTGTGTTTTTGTTTTCTATCATAACAAATTAATATAAATAAGATTTGACTAATGTTCTTTAAAACGGCAAGGGTATCACGTATCTTGAAAAGTAGCATTATTTTTTTTGACATTATGCTGTTTTTTGACATTATGTACGCTACTCTACAAGATGTTAACCTAGCACTTAGTTGTACGTATTGTCTAAACATCAGGAGGCTTGTTATCAATCTTTGGGTCTGATATGATGTAAAATCTGCTTCTGAGATGGCACGACTGGAGGTCTAAGCTGTAAGTTGTATGTGTTGATGATAATTACATTGGGTTCTTGTCTCAAATACACTTAATTGAGATTTAAAGTTAGACATTAGCTACGCATCCACTTTTTCTTATCCATTCTGGAAATTACATACACAAATTTGCTGAATTTAAAAAATTAGAGAGATTAGAAATAATTATACTCACTGTACACTGTCGAATTACAAGCCATATACATGCTAACAGTAATTACATACAACGCGGGCGCGGTGATGATTTCCCGTAATTCTCCTCAGTTTTTCGTAATTTATAACTTAGAACATAAGCTCTCTTCAGAAAGCACAACATATAAATAACCCATCATATTCGGCATATTCAGTAATGTTTTTCTCACACAGCAAATATCACTGATTTTATACATAGACCAATACACATAATCATCCAGATGCGATCTAACCACTCAACCAACTTTCTTCTCAGAGATAAAGGCTACAGACCCGGATCACTCAGCCTCGCAAAACTATGCAACCAATAATGCGTAGTTTAGTTGAGGGATTCCTCCATACATGGACGTTTACAACGATCCTAGAGAGCAAACGTGGAATGACTGTTTGCGTCCTAAAAGCTACCTAGTCTGCAAGTTAACATCCTATAAGTTTTTATTCACGTTTTATAGGTTTTTTACATGATACCCGTGCGGAGTGACCGATTTAAAACATCAAACGTCAAAAAAAAAGGACTTCGAAAGACCTTTCAAACAGGCTATTATTTGATACCCCCTGAAATTTTCAAGGGGATGGCCCTGGGGGCAGAGGGTGGAAGGAGGTGAAGTGATTTTTAGTTAAAACGTGGCCCTCTTGATAAATCTGTTGACATATCTGGGCGTTTTTTCTTTTAATCAGTGGTTTACGATAAATCCGTGGTGGGGGGGGTTTCAACTGAACATCCTGAATAGCGGTATAAGCAGGCATTGACCAAGAGGCGTATTAGCAGCATTTTTTGTATAGGAAGCTGCTAATTGCTATTCGAGACTATTTTACCTTTGTTTGTACTTTGCCAACGAACTACTATTAACAAATTTTGATAACAGCATTTGATTGGATTTAGGTTCGTAGACTATACTGCTAGAGGATCTTCACCTACTCTATCTACAGCTGCCAAACAAGATTTTCCATTGCTCCGTCACTGGAGCTTTGCGGAAACTGCATATAAGCATATTCAAACTGCCAAATGAATTTAAAAAATGACCAAACAGTTCTGATTTCAAACTGTTACACGTGGATTCATGCGGAATAATCCAATTAGCGGCATTACGATATTTTTCGGATGTTCATATAAAATTTAGATTTAGGGCAATGCAGTTATAACCAATATCCAGGGATGCAGTTAAAATGAAAACAGATTAATTACAAATCACGTAATTATTTCAAAAATATACATACGCAATCCTCTTGATACGATGCTATTCAATTGACAAATCTGTATAATTAGGACATAAATGTGGTTTATGTTTTGTTTTATTTCATTTTCGGACATTAAACAGTCACCTATGTGACAGTTGATATTAGATATTGAGCTAAATTATTACCGAGCCAGCAGTAGGGGTCCGATAAATGTCAAATGCCTCACTCGGCTGCAAGAGAATTATAAATACTACAACAGCCAATCTGAATCCTTTAGCTGAGTTCAGGTTACTACTATAGTAGAGGATAGGTTTAAAGGCACAGTTTTTCAAAAGTCCTGCTTCATAGGCACCCTATAACTGAAAATCGTTAACAGGTTAACTGTCAGCAGCCTTAAACGTTCCCATGTTTGACCTGCAGACCAGGCAAAATAAGGTTGAGGTCGATTTCTGGGGTAGTTGAGATTTTTGCTGAGTCCATTTCAGGACATCGAGTATGACCAGAGCATCGATATGCACCAGTGTAACAGAAGGTTAAAGTTGGTTTTGAAAAATAAAACATGAAAGAATTGGCTTTTGGCTCTTGGCAAGTGACGATTGTAGAGCAAAGAAGATCAAGACTTTTTCGCTTACTCTTGGCAGATGGACGTGTATGATGGATGTATTTTCCACAATGCGTAATGAAACTAAAATCATAAATCTGAATAAGTACAAACAGTAGTAAAACTGAAGTATTTTGCAAGCTAATCATTACAAATTCTGTAATAGGAAATTTTTATTAGAAATATATGAGGAAATATTTTTAAAATATTCAACTCCTCATCAAACATGCACCCATTATTTTTTGATTCATATTTGGTTCTTTGCCATTAAAAGAAGATGAGTGATAACATTCGCTAGGCCATTCCATCCCGCACATAACGTATGTCCTAAAAGCTTTTGGCACAGAATATTTATCGGATTTTTTTTCATGCAGAAATTTATTTGAACACTAACTAGTTATCACAAATTACAACTATACTATACTATCGAACTATGCGGAGCGGCTCTTTGCTGCTCTACCTGACGCAACTTTCTTCGAACGTCTCACATGAGGTCCTAGATGGAAGCTTTTGTTTCCGAAGACGACTTGACAATATTTTGTGTTTGTTAAAATTAAAGCCAATCAATGTTGTTCCAAAACTCTTAGGACATAAATTACGTCATTTTTATGAATAATGCATCAAAGGTCTACATATTGTTCATGATTTCAACTAGACTAGTTCACTCTGCGAAAAACTCTTCAGCTAATCTTCAAAGGCTCTACACCCTGTAGTCTAATCATATTAGACGAAAATATCCCTGGCTTGCGAATTAATTGTAAAGTCTGGTTTTATAGCTGCGAGTTGTTCAAGGGGGTATTCAAAGCATGGACGCATAAAATGGATACACCAATTTTTGTGGGAAAACTCGCAAGTTTCGATAGGAACAAAAAAACTCGTCATATAAGATTTTTAGGTATTTATGAGACCTACAAAATGAGACTACACGCAAAAAGATCTGACTACTAGCAAAAAAGTTATGGCTGAAAACCGAGGCAAAATGCAGGTTTTGGCACTTGTTGGTAATGCGATCATAATTTCAAGCACACACTTGAAATTCTTCAAATCCGTAAGACTCATACTTCTAAATAACAACAACAAAACCGGAGTATAGTGGTCAAGTAGTTTTTTGAGTATTTCTAATTGACAATCCCAAAACACCTGTTTTCCGGCCATCATTACTAGTTTATTGAGTAATATACAGGGTTCATTCAAAGAGCATTTAATAGCAAAATACACGGGTTTATCTTGCCGATATGAATCACAAAGCATACCGAAAGATAAATGTTATTTTTATGCGAAAAACAAAGGTTACGTTTTTTCTTCTAAACAAATTCAAACATTTCGTATTTGTGAGTAATTCCCAACAAAAGATGATAGACACATCCGCTTTGTTCTAAAATGTGTATAGTAACGTATGTTTTTCGAGTATCGTAGCGCCTTTGTTCAATTTCTCACAAATACGAAATGTTTGAATTTATTTATAAGAAAAAAATGTGACCTTTGTTTTTCGCATAAAAATAACATTTATCTTCCGAAATGGTTTTACTCTTTGCGCAATAGACTAGTAGAGATGGCCGGATAAATAATTAGAAATTCTCAAAAAAATACTTGACCACTATACTCCAGTTTTGTTGTTGTTACTTAGAAGTATGAGTCCTACGGATTTGAAGAATTTCAAGTATTTGCTTGAAATTATGGTCGCATTACCAGCAAGTGCCAAAACCAGCATTTTGCCCCGTCTTATTCTGTAAGTCACACAAATACTTAAAAATCTTATTTGAAAAGTTTTTTCGTTCCTGTAAACACATTCGATTGAATCCCAAAGAACACGTTTTCTCATTATTTGTTGTTAAATAAAAAGTTTACACTCAAAAATTGGTGTACCCATTTTATGCGTCCATGTTTTAAATACCTCCTTGAACAACTTGCATCAATAAAACCCGACTTTACAATTATTTCGGGAAAATTTACTAATATGATTAGACTACCAATAAAGTTTTATTACTTATTGTGACTCCATACCTTTCTTAGCTGTTTTACTCTCAACCCCTAAAACTGTCGTACTGTGATTTGTTCCACTTAAAATCAAACTACATAATACAAGCTTGGTACGTTTTTCCGTCTAATAACAATAGAAAGACGAAATCTCGCGTTACCCAGGTGAGCAATATTAACACGCTCCTGCAGTTACCGCAAACTTTGGCAATATTGATTCAGACAGTTCTGTTGGAATTTCTGTCACGGAAACTAACTGCAGCCATCTACCCTCCCATCGGTTTGTTTGGCCTCCAACCATGTACTTATGTATACGCTCTCACGTATATCCACATTTGCTGCGTTGAAAGCTCTTCAACGGCACCGCACGATATAACGCTTGGGGATGCGAGCGACAGCCACAGCCAGAAATGGCAGTTTTGCAACTTGTAATGCGTGATATATGACGCTGTTTATGTGTAGCGAGCTATGCGGATTGTTGGTTATTGATTTACCACCTGAAAATTGCTCCGAACCGCGTTGACTCATGATTTTCACATAACGGATGGCAACAGATAAATCATGACTGTAACAGTAACATCCTTAATATTTGCGATAACATTCGTTACGCTCGTGGTAATATTTTGACAATCGATAACATATGGTGGGTTGATACTTTCATCGACACGTTGTGACATATATAGGGTGATTCAAATTCGATTCTCATCCTTGTGATCACGAAAACTGCAAGAGATACAAACTCGCTTGAATGGATGCAAAGTTGCATATTTAGGTAATCACGCAAATGCCGCTTAGAAAGTTTCGAAAGTTAAAGTACTTCCTGAGAGAGACAGAAAAAAGCGACTTTTCCCAAAATCGCTTTAACGTTTACAAGGTGGCATAATAAGAGTTTCAATACGACATTTCTCTCTTGTCCTTCTCCATCAACTTTATTTTTTCTAACAGACGTTAGAGTTTTTAATACTGATTCCAAAAATGTATAATACGTCATACATTTACATTGCCAAACTGAGTTATTACAAGGAAAGCAGAATGTTTTAGGTAGGCCTTGAAATTATCAGATAGTCATTTCTTTCGCATATCCGATCTATCCCAAAATCACTTTTATTTTCTCTTGGGTTACTTTGAGATGGGATTTCAAAATAAATTGCATGTTGTCATTGTTACTTGATCCCTTCTGTAAGAGGAGGAACTTCCGTTTTTGTGGAATAACTAATTTGTGACAATGTCAAGGTATGACATACTTTTGAGATCAGAATATGGGTCAACAAGAAAAAATAAAGTTTATGCTGGCGGACCAAGAGACGAAACTTCATATTGAAATTCTAACTATGCCATCTTGTAGAGCATAAGCAGTGACAACGTTAACGCGTAGTTTATACTGGAATTTCAGTACAAATAAAGTCAAGAACAAATTAAAACGGTTTTGGGAAAATTTCGTTTTTTCCTTCTCTTTCCAGAAGTACTTTGAATTTCGAAAATTTGCCCCCATTTAGGCGACTTCGGATCTCTTACCGTTCCTGAGATCCCAATGACGACGGCCTAATTTGAAACACCCTGTATACAGCGAGAAGCACCAAGCCGCGAAGCTAACAGTTCTTATTTTAATGTTAAAAAAAAGCTTGTTGATATCTGGTTGTAAACCACAGCCACATATTTTTGTATATACAGGGTGTTCCATAATTATTGCGACAAAATGATAGGGGTTGTAGAGGGCATCAAAATGAACAATTTTTCCTTATAAACCCCTGTTCGGAAATATGCCGTTTGGGCTGCAGCAAAAAAAAAGATCAGTTTCTTGAAACAGCTTACCTACAGTAATTGCTCAAAGTGTTCTCCACCTTGCTCAATACACAGCTGTGCACGATTGTTCAATGATCGGCGAACTCTGTGGCATACCCCCGGTATGTCCTGAACATGTGCGGACGTGGCCATCACTCTTCCCAGTAGCTCTTGTTGGTTGGGAACAGGAGTTTCGCACACTAAAGCTTTCAGATAGCTCCAGATAAAATAATCCAGTGGGGTCAGGTCAAGTGACCGCGCAGGCGAAGGCACAGGGCCACCTCGGCCTATCCACCTATTTGGAAATTTGTCGTCCAAATACTGCCGCACTTGTAAAGAAAAGTGGGCTGGACCGACATGGTGTTGAAACCACATGGTGGCTCTTATATTCAGTGGCACATTTTCTAATAGTTCCGGTAGCACATGCTGTAAGGATCGACCATAAGCATGCCCATCCAGACGTGGTGGAAGCAGATATGGCCCGATGATATGCTCGTCCACAATGCCGCACCAGATGTTAATTGAAAACTGATGTTGGTCTCTATGGATGGCTATGGCATGAGGGTTTTCTTCATCCCAAATGTGACTGTTACGGCTATTAAAATAACCGTCCTTTGTAAAACAGGGGTTTATAAGGCAAAATTGCATATTTTTATGCCCTCTATAACCCCTATCATTTTGTCGCAATAATTATGGAACACCCTGTATATGTACATATACTCATAAACAAATACTTTTTGGGAAAATCTATTTATAGAATGTTATACATGACATTTGAGGGCTCATTTCTAAAATATTAGCCATTATAAAGCGTGTCCCAATTTTGACCTACATATCAAAGTTGTGATTTTTCAAATGGAATGCCTCAAATTTTATTGCATATTTGGATAGACCAATCCAAAAGAAGAAAATTGATATATATATATACTATTATGGGGCTTTGGTAATCAGCTACTGGGATATAAGGTGTTTTGTCCAGAAAAAACCCCCATTTCGGTAACCCCTCAGTCCGCCATTTTGAAGTTTTGAGTGCTGAATTTTGTATAAAAAATAAACTTACACACCTCAGCTTTTATCTTATCTGTTATTTTTCCTAATATTAATTTTTGCTCATACAGGGTGGTCAAAAACGCAAATTGTAGTTTTTCTCAAAAATTTCAAATGCAAGTTTGGATTCAACTTTTTATAAGCTTTTTTTGGTATAAGGTTTGATTCAGATAAAATCACTAGATTTTGAGTTATTAAGCTTCTCGTATGACAACATACCAAAATTAAGGAAAAAAATCACATCATCCATGGAAACAAAAGACAAACAGTGGGCTAGTTCCACATTGCCACTAAGAGTACAGAATTGATTTTAGATTATGTCAACCTGCAAACTCGGATGCTTATGTACCTGCATGATGACGCACCTGCGCATTATCGTAATCGTGTACGTAACTATTTGGACACCTGGAGTAACAATCGTTGGATCGGTCATGATGGGCCTATATCTTGGCCTCCAAGATCACCAGATATGACATCGATGAACCTCTTTCTATGGGGCTACGTTAAGCAAGAGATTTATAGATATCCACCATCTACCCCAGAAAATATGAAGGAAAGTATTAAGGATGCTGAGGGATGTGGAACGGTCATTTATCCAAAGGCATTTTCGAGCAGTTTTTGTAGATTAGGTCTTGAGTAGTGATAGCTGTTTGTTTATGTTTTTGTTATTGTAGTTTTTCTATATTACGCTTGAAGCTGATTTATACTGCTCTGATTACTATTAGTTTTAACCTCAAATCTCTTTGTGGCAGTATGGAACTAGCCCACTGTTTTTCTTTTGTTTCCTTGGATAACGCTACTTTTTCCCTTAATTTTGGTGTTTTGTTCGATTAAAAGCTTAATAACTCAAAATCTAGTGATTTTATGTGGATCAAACCTCATACCAAAAAAAAAGCTTATAGAAAATTGAATCCAAACTTGCACAAATATACAGGGTGATGCATTTGAAATTCTGAGAAAAAGTATTATCCGCATTTTTGACCACCCTGTATGAGAAATAATAAAAATTCGAACAAGTAACAGAAAAGGTAAAAGCTGAGGTGTGTTAGTTTTTCTTATACCGAATGCAGCACTCCAAATTTCAAAATGGCGGATTGAGGGGTTGCCGAAGTGGACGGTTTTTCTGGACAAAACACCTTACGTCTCAGTAGCTAATTACCAAAACCCCATGTTATATCGGTTTTCTTCTTTTGAATTCGTTTATCCAAATATGCAATAAAATATGAGTCATTCTATTTAAAAAATCACAACTTTGATATGTATGTCAAAACTGGGACACCCTGTATAATTGCCAATATTTTAGAAATGTGCCCTCAAATGTCATGTATAACATGCCGTAAATGGATTTTCTCAAAATGTATTTGTTTATGAGTAACATTCCGTCCACACATGGATGAGCCACCCTGTATATATGTAAATCCCTATTTATTGACAAACACACGACGCCACAGCATCTAGGAATTCGGAATGTTATTTCCGGAGGCGCGATACGAACTCACGGCCTGGCCAGCCGGCTGAACAGTAGCACGACTCTCTAACCCACCCGGCCAACCGAGGTCCCCAACAATTCTTATTGAGCACACCTCAGCAGAAATACCAAGTATTTACCAAGTTTGTGTACTATGCTATACAATGTCGTCTCATGTTTGTTAGCGATACTATTACTACTTATTGTCATAATGGTAGAAAACAGATAGCAAACAACCGGTGTGGTCTATTGAGAACCATTTTAGTATACTACTGCGCCATAAAAATATTACGACAGATCTGGATACATCTTCGATTTATTTCTTGAACATGACATGGCCAAAAATCAAAGGTAGTTTCGCTTTTAGAAAGGTTAGACGCCCCTGCTGATATCCTACACACCGTACAAACAACCATAAAGAGACGTCTGGTATGGTTGGTCATAATCACAGAAAGCAAATAGATTCACTTCAAAAAAAAAAATCAAATCAAAATCTAAAACCTTTATTTTCATACAGAAAATATACAATTGTATTGGAATGGTCAATTTTTCCTACCCTGCAAACCTACAACTAATCTTAAATTGCAATGTTAAAAAATTCATCAACACGATAAAAGCACTTGTTTATCAAAAATTGCTCCAACTAGAACTTGAACTGGTTAATATTTTTATCCGAGGTCATGTGGCATGGTAAACTATTAAAAAGAAGTGGACGAATTATATTAGGTAATCGAAATGCCGCTTTTGATTTGCTGAAGTTTACATATAAAAAATACATCTTCAGAGCGCGTTGACCAACTCTAGAAACATACTCCATATCTTAATCTTGATTCCACATTAGCAAAATAAACTTGTATCAATTGTTCAGTTGTTAAGATGGTTTTTATTTGCCTCAAAACATTGCTTTGAGAGTGCATCTTTGATGTGAGAAATTCGCAGTGGGCCTTGCAATTTAATTTCGTATCAAAATGAACTCCAAGAAATTTCACTTCTCCTCTTAAATC